CATGACTGGCACAAACTGGGCACTTCGGCACTTAAAGGTTAATGGATGGGTCTCCCTAATAAATCAGTCACTCTATTGAAATGGCTGAAGAGGAACATAGTGTCCATTAAAGAGTATTAAAAGGTTTGGACGGTTACAAACTGTAATTCTTAGTTGTGACTGTAGCTAGGATCATCTGCACATCTACATGACGATGTATTCTCGACAGGATTTATGGAAGGTGAATAAATGAAATGAAATGAAACTTAATTCAACCAAATTAAATTTTATGAACTTGCTAAGAAATGGTTCCTCATACCTCAAAATGTATAATATAAGTTATGTTATACAAATTTTATTTAATTTGAAGTTTCAATTTTGTGAATGTTGCAATTATTGAAATAAACAAGCTGCATTATGCCTTATATCTATTTTTCTCGAAGAAATGTGTGCAGAACTGAAGAAAAGAAAAATCTGGATTCAATGTCTTGCACATCCTTCTGCACATCTCTTTAAGGTCAGATTAATTTAGGTTATTATAAAGAATATTCTCTTCTGGGATATAACACTGTTAGCCCAGAATAAGCATACTGACGTTTTGGCTCCATTTTCATGGCTGAAGAATAAGTCAAGCAAGTAACCAACAATGTACAAGTAGTAAGGTGGGTGCGCCATGGGTATAAACTTGGTTAATTTACAAACCTGTAAAGGAGACCAGGGAGAGCCAACATGAACAAAGGGAAGAGCAATGAGTGTTGGCCTTGAAGAGAGTTGCAGAGAAATGCAAGAATTATCACAAGTAGGCTATAGGGTTGTGGTGGAGAACAGAATGAGGTAGCAGTGGCAGAAGGAGACCTGGTGAAAGGAAGAAGGCAATGTGCATGAGCCTAACAACCTGGCAGAGGACCTCTACAAATGTGGCTTCCTAAATTATTTCAGGGGCTATACAAGATGTTTATATAAACTGCTTAGGCAGTGGCATCACCCGTGTTCAGGTTTTCAGCATGGAGTTGAATCTTGATCATCTTCCTGATGATATGGTTCATGTATCTGAATTTGGTGGAGAGGATACTGATGTTTTAGAGCTGTATGTAGTATTCCAAGTTGGTGCTATGTCATGGCACTTGTCTACATGAATAAGATGGATATGTCAATGATACTTTGACTGGACCATACAGTATCATGTCCCACAATTTATTAATCTTCTAATCACTGCTGTGAACACCTTGGATCCAACTCAGGTTATTATCGTTCATGTGCATGAAAACTGTGACATTTCTCTCTCCTTGTCTCGTTTAGTATCAGCATGCCTGGACAAGAACCTAATTCTTCAGTTTTCCCAAGATTTTAATGTGATTACTTCAAATGATCTTGATACAGTGTAGTTCTTAAGAGTGTAGATTAAAAAAAAAAAATGTAGACATTTCAACATTGCAGTACTGTTTCTCTTATATCGATGCTACGGCCTGAAAGAGAACATGCAGTGCAACTGCCTGAGCATTCTGAAAATTATTTGGCTGCTCAGGCAGATGAGAAATGCACATGGCTCAGCAATATGTGGGAAGCTCTCAGATTACTACACTGTACAAAAGCAGATTTGAGGAACCACTTCAACAAGAGTGGAAAGATGGCCTCCAAATTTTCCAAGTTTATTATCTGTGATCACTGGTCTTAACATTTATTTGTAACTGCATAAGGTAAAGTTGTCCCTGTGCTTAACTAATTAAGCACTATGCCATGAAGGCGTATGGGGGAGTGGATGTATAGATCCACATTTTCTTGACTTCGGCACTAGCTGGATGTGAGTGGTCGCTTCACACCCTGCTGCTTTACCCCCAAGGAAAGGGTCTGTGTTACCCACTGGATAGGAGGCACTGATCCTTAAATCTTTAAGAAAATGAGATATTGCACTGCATAAAGACATAATAAAAATTTCTCCACAACATTTATTGTAAATTACAAATACCATATTTCACTGATATCTACTGAGTAATATGCTGTCAAATTACACATTCAGTTTGCAGTCTGTCTGCTGACAGGTGAAGCAAGTTTTTGTGAGAAACAAAGAAAATGAATTATAGTAATCAATTTTACCAACCTTATGTAGATTTATAACACTTCTATGCTGGTGATTTCCAAGATATTCAACCAACAACAGATCTGGAAATGAACTTGGTTCCTTTAACCAGTCTCTATTTTGTTGCGGCAAAGTAAGACCACTTCTTTGGTTTTGTAATACTTTTGTAAAATAAGCCTCTCGAAAATGTGGATGTGACATTTTCATTAAGTCTGGGCATGGATGCCTCTTGCCATTGAAACATACATCTTCCCATGATAACTGCAAAGCTTGAGCCATCAGAACTACTGATTGACTGACTATTAAAATGTCTTCTGCTCTTAATGCAATGTGCAAATCATCTTCTGATTTTATCTTGTCTATACTGTGAATACAGTCCTGATAAGAAAATGGCCCTGAAGAATTTAACTCGCTATAAGTACAATATTGGCTTTGTAAGTACCTCCAGAGCCACTCATTCTCTTGAGATGGGTATGTCCTTATTTGCTGAAATAATATTTGAAGCCATTAAATTCTGCTTAAGTACCAGTAATGATATAGTTCAAATAATATGATGTGAGAAACTTTATATCCCTCAGAGAATTGCTAGACTCTTAAGTGATTATTGTAATTACTGTATTACTTCAAATATGAGATGTACATTTGATACATTTTTTCCTGTTGAAAAAATTAGGTTAATCTTAAATTTGACAAAGGTGAACTTTTCTAATTATTTTCCTTAAAACACACTTCAAAAACTGGATGCATCTTAAATGTGAGGACATCTTATATACAAAGTAATATGTTATTCTCATCAAACCAAAACAAATCACATGTAAATTCTGTAATTTCAAAATATACGTTTATGAAGTTTTAAAAATATATCTATTAAGGCTGTCAACAGACAAAATAAGAACAGGAAATAAATATATATTTTTCTTGTAGGAGTGAATCATATAAAGCAAAAGCGATACAGTAAACCCTTGATTATCAGGTATCCAAGAATCTAGAATTCTCATCCAACTGGCAAAAATATCAAAGAAAATTTACCATTTATGTGAAAAAAATTAAAAAAAGTTTACACCTTTGTTTGTTGCAGTCAAATTGGGTAACACCAATGTGACACATAAAGTTCGCAAATTAATTATATTATGGAACTTTAATGACCGATAGATTTATTTATTACTAATGCTACATTTGGAGCATAGCTCTGTATGGGGCTGAAACATGGACACTTAGGGCAGTAGATCAGAAACATCTGGAAAGTTTTGAAATGTGGTGTTGGAGAAGGATGGAGAAGAACAGTTGGACCGATTATGTGAGAAATGAAGAAGTGTTAATTAGAGTCAGTGAGCAGAGGAATATCCTACACGAAATAAGAAAACGGAAGGCTAATTGGATTGGTCATGTTTTACGCAGAAACTGCCTTCTAAAAGAAGTTATTGAAGGAAAGATAGAGGGGCGGATAGAAGTGACAAGAAGACGAGGAAGAAGACGTAAGAAGATGCTGGATGACCTTGGGGACAGAAGAGTATACTGTCATTTGAAGGAGAAAGCTCTAGATCGCATTAAATGGAGGAACTGTTTTGGAAGAGACTGTGGACCTGTCATCTTGACAGATTACTGATGATGATGATGATGATGATGAGTGTACTATTACAAGATTGTCATCCTGGCAAAGCAGGCCATGCATGAGGCAAATCTGACCATTTTACAAAAGTAATATGGCATGCTTTGTCATTATCACTGCTGTTAGAAATATAGTAGGCAGAATGTTACTGGTTCTTAGGAGAAGTGTAAATACATATCTGTTACGGATGAAGAGAAATATAGTGGTCAAGAAAGGTGATATTAATGACAGGATGCCCATAATGCTTCAGGATCAGAAGCATTATAAAGAAAAAATCTATTAAGTAAAATAACAAATGTTCATTTACCTTCATATGGCTAATGCGATCTTTCCAGTATTCCTCAAAACTGTGTAACTGATCACTTTGAATTGAGAGTGAATAGATTTTGGCAACTTGTTTTGGCATGAATCTGATGTCACCATGTGTAAGCAAGTTTGAAAAAAATAGCTGTAGAGGGCTTGTGCTGTTTGGATTAATATAATCCTTAAGTGACTCCACAAAGTTCTGAACAGAAGTCTGTTGCATCAATATAAGAACGGGAATCCCATAATTATTTCCTGATAATAATGACTGTACAATATTCTGATTTGAGTTTTTGATATCCTCACCCACACCATGATTTACTCTTTCCATGTATGTATACTGCACTGAGGATAATATACAAATATCATTGGCAGCTGCAAGTTGCATTAATAAATGAGTCAGACGGGTGCTGTAGGCACCAGCATCATGTACCAAAAGCAGATGGTGCCACTTTAACTGCTTCAGCATTGCTAGCATTGCCTGAAACAATATAAAAAATGATACAGGAAGATAAGACAGCGTGATGCACTGAATTTATAGTAGTTTCCCATAGAAGATGGAAAAATAGTTTATAACCGCACACGGCCTGAACACTTCTTACAACCGCTGCTCATTGCTACTTCTCGTGACNTCTGAACAGCATTTAAGAATTAAAACTGTGTAATTTTTGTATAGGTAATAATAGGGCCTGATATTCTTTTTAAGCAGATGGTTTGTTAAACATCAAGAATATAAATTATGATTTCAGAGTACTTAAGCTTGATTTAAACACAAAGAATTTCAAGTGTCCATATTCTTATTCAATTTGATGGCCGGGGGGGGAGTAGCCAAACCCAGTGCACAGATTCTTATCCATGTTCCACAACATAAATCATCTATGAATTTTGTATTACACCTGTTCAGTAAATTTTATAATTAAAAAAAATCATGTGGGTTAAAATTGATATTATTTGTTATATTATTAATTTAACACCTAATCTGAACAAGATTTAGTGTACGAACTTGTTCCTATTAATACGATCTGAGTCAGTATCCTGATCGATCCTGATACATTCGATAAAAATTGAAATTTTTTAATGCCATCAATCCATCCATCGAACATGGCGGTTCGTGAAGTGGTTGATGAATTGAATTGAATTTATTTACATTCTATAAATCCTAAGCAGGTTAGTACCTTTGGATACAGAACAAGTCAAAAGGTTACATACATAAGTACAGGCAATTTTAGCTTAAAAATTAATATAACTTAATTTTACATCATTCTCTATTTACATTGAAGTATTCATCTAAAGAGTAGAAGGAATGAGCATGTAGATAATTCTTTAACTCTGATTTAAACTTTTTAGTATCATTGCCCAAGTTTTTAATACTTTGTGGCAGATTGTTGAACACTTTTATGCCAGTAAAGTAGACTCCTTTTTGATATACTGATAAAGTTGATGAGGGTAGGTGGAAGTTATATTTTTGTCTAGTATTCATGTTATAGACATCAGAATTTAATTTGAATTTATCTTTGTTGTAAACAACAAATAAGAGAAGCGATAATATGTATTGCGATTGAAGAGGTAGAATTTTTAATTTCTTAAATAATTCTCTACATGAATCTCTACTTCTACATCCTGTAATGATTCTAATTATATTCTTTTGTATTTTAAAAATTATTACACTATGTGAAGAGTTCCCCCAAAATATTAATCCATAGTTCATAATAGAATGAAAGTAGGCATGGTAAACCATCTTCAATGTTTCCTGTGACATAAAAGGCTTAATTGATCTCATCGCATAGCAAGCTGCATTTAATTTAGGTATAATTTGTTCAATATGTATTTTCCAAGACAGTGTACTGTCTACATGTATTCCAAGGAATTTTGTATCAAGTACTTTACAGATTAATTTGTTGGCATAACTGATGTCCAGATCAATTTGGTGGTTGTTTTTAGTTGTGAATGATATGTAATGGGTTTTATCAAAATTTAATGAGAGTAAATTGGCTTCGAACCATCTGTTTAAGGCTTCAAATACAATATTTATGTCATTTTTAAAGTTTTCAAATTTAGAGTTCTTAAATATTATACTAGTGTCATCTGCATATAGAATTGGTTTAGATTTATTGTTGATGGTTTTAGATAGATCATTTATGTAGAGAAGAAAAAGTAAGGGACCTAAAATTGATCCTTGTGGAACACCGTGCTTTATAATTCCCCAGTTTGAAAATGCATTATGACTGGAGTTTTTATTATTTATTTCAACTCTTTGATACCTGTTTTTGAGGTATGATTTGATCCATTCATTAGCTTTGCCAGTTATTCCATAGAAATTTAATTTCGATAGTAAGATATCATGATTAACACAATCGAAAGCTTTTGCTAGATCACAGAAAATCCCTCCCACAATTAATCTGTCATTGAGAGCACTTAAAATATCGTTAGTTAGTTCATAGGTTGCTTTTTCTGTTGTTAGGTCTTTCCTAAATCCAAATTGCTCTTTGACTAATATGTTGTTAGAATTTAAGTGTTCAAGTAGTCTATTATACATAACTTTTTCAAAGACTTTTGAGAATGAAGTCAATATGGATATTGGTCTGTAATTAGAGATGCATTTTCTCTCTCCTTTTTTAAAAAGTGGTTTCATTACAGCGTATTTTAAGCGTTGAGGAAAAGTACCTGATGATAAAGATTTATTACATAGATGATTCAAGGGTGAACTGATGTAAACAGAGCTTGCTTTAAGTAATTTGGTAGAGATTTCATCATATCCATGTGAATTTTTGGGCTTAAGGGATTTAATAATGTTTTCAATTTCCTTCCTTGTTGAGAATTTGAGATTGATATTTGGAAATGAATTGTTAAAGGCACGAGACAGATAGTATATTGGATTATTATTATTATTATTATTATTATTATTATTATTATTGGAATATGTTTTCTCAGCTAATGAAAGGAAATATTCATTAAATGCACTTGCGATAGCTTGTGGATTGTTAGTGGACTTCCCTTCAATATTCAAACTTTGTACGTCTTCATTAACAGATTTCTTTCCTGATTCAACTTTCACAATATCCCAGGTGGTTTTAATTTTATTGTTTGATTTTAGAATTTGGCTGTTATAGTTATTCTGTTTGGCTTCTTTAATGACTTTTGACAAAATTTTACAGTACATTTTGTAGTGACTTTTTAGTCTTGGATCATTACTGTCCCTACTGGCCAAATATAGTTGTCTTTTGTGTTTACATGAAGTTTTTATTCCAATTGTTATCCAGGTGGATTTGTTTTTATTTTCATTTTTGACTATTTTTAAGGGAAAGCTTGAATAAAAGATCCTCAAGTATGTGTTCAGAAAGCAATTAAATTTAGAATCAATATTATTGCTGTCAAATACATTGTCCCATGATTCATTACTTAATTTTGTGACAAAATCTGCCATCGTATGCTTGTTGATTTTCCTTACTGTTTGATATTGTTGATTACTGGGCTGAAGGTCAATATTATTTATTTCTATGAGTTGAGCATCATGATCGGATAAGCCATTTATAAAGGGTCCTACAGTATAGTCTCTTAATTTTGAGTTATCAATGAATATATTATCTATCGCTGAACTAGAATTATTTTGAACTCTTGTGGGAAAGTTAACAGTACTGGAGAGATTGTAAGATGATAACAAAGAGTCTAAATTTAGTTTCCTATTACTGTCGATGAGATAGTTTATATTTATATCACCACAAATTATAAATTCAACTTTTGAACTATGCAGTACATTTAGGATGGTTTCTAATCTATTTATAAAGTGATCGAAGTTTCCAGATGGGGCTCTATATAAAGTCAGTATACAAATATTAGAAAAAGGAGAGTCTAACTTTAGAGCACATGCTTCCAGATCCTGGTCTTTGCAATAATCTTCTAAATTTATTTTAGTAAATTTTAGGTTTTCATGTACAAAAATACTCACTCCTCCTTTCTCCAGTGTTTTCCTACAGTATCTAGCACCTAAATTATAATTTTCTAAGTGAAGATGTTCTAATTCCAGCTGTTTCATGTGATGTTCAGTAAGGCACAGTATGTGTGGAAGATTTGAATTCATGGAGCTTATTAGTTCATTTGTTTTGTTTCTCAATCCTCTTATATTCTGATGGAATATTCTTAGTACTTTATTATTCACTGAATTTAGTAGACTGCAATTACCTTTTCCGATTTCCATTGGTTCACTTACATTATTGTCTGAAAGATTAGTTTCTTTTGCAATTTCTTTTACTTGATAAACTTTACTTGCACTCTTTATCCTAAAAAATGATTCTGAACACCCATGACAACTGGAATGTGTCTGCCTTTAATGCTCTCTGCAATGAGTCGCGTCAGCTTGTCCTTGCCTCGAGGATTAAGATGCAAACCATGGACAGTATGTTCGCTCCTCAATATTGTTGATGACACTCCAGTTTTCATCAATAATAGTGAAACAAGCGAAGTAACTTGTGCTTGTTGTGATAAATTAAAATATAACTACAAAAGACCAGAACTCAGATTATCACAAAAAATTACTGAGCTGCTGCAAGAAGAGATAAACATTCCCAATCAGACTGTAAGTATGGATGCTTGTTACTTGCATCACAACGATAATTCTTAATAATAAATTCTTAAATAACCTCAAGCAGCCTATGAACAGAACACTAAGTCAGAGACTGGAAGTTAAACCAAAGACAGAAGACAAGAGAATCAAGACTAAGGCAAGAAGAAAACATACCGTACAATTCCCATCACTGGTGATAGCCACATGAGAGGATGTGCGGCAGAAGTTTATCCTAACCTTGATGAAAATACTGAAGTTGTGATGCTAGCAGAAGTCCAAAATCAATAACTAATTCTACAAAGAAAGAAACTGGAAAAAGAACCTCTGGTACCCATTAGATAGGACCCTCCTGGGACTTGAACTCTGGCTCCTCAGTTTTCCAGCTCATAGGCAGTCTCTATATGTACTACACTACCCAGGCTCAGTAATAATAATAATAATAATAATAATAATAATAATAATAATAATAATAATAATTCTNAGTTATATCAAGGGTAAACATAATAGCACCATTAATAGTGACCCATCACACTATCTGGCTTATGCCTTTGACAACTCATCTGTGAACATAAAACTCAAATTTTCAACAAGGGAAACTGAAAGCATCATTAAATCCCTTAAACCTAAAAATACATGTGGATATGATGAATTATCCACTAAATTGCTTAAAATCAGCTCTGTTATATTACCTCACCTCTAAATTATATATGTAATACATCCATTTTGTCAGGGGCCTTTCCTCAATGCCAAAAATACTCTACAGTAAAACCGATGCTTAAGAAAAGTTGATAGAATGGATGTTTTCCAACTACAGAGCAGTATTCTTACTGACCTCTTTCTCAAAAATCCCTGAAAAAGTAATATATAACATACTACTTTAACATGTAATTAATAACATACTAGTGAAAGAACAGTTTGGATTTAGGAAAAATCTAGCAACAGAAAAAGCAACCTATGAACTAAATAATGGAATCATAGATGCCCTAGTTAGGAAATTACTATTAGGCTAGATCTTCTATGATCTAGCTAAAGCAGTCAACTGTGTTAATCATGACACTTTGCTGCTCAAATTAAATTGGTATGGAATAACTGGCAAGGCCAATAATTGGATTGAATCATACCTTGTGGCTAGATATCAAGGGTGGAAATAAGAAGCATAAACTTTAATCATCAGATAGCTTCATAATGGGATAAAATAAGTCATGGCATCCCACAAGGATCCATACTAGGTCCTTTGCTCTTTCTTCTCTATATATATATGACTCACCAGACTTTGTTAATAATAAATCTAAACCAATTTTGTTTGCAGACAATACTAGTATAATAGTTACCAACGCCCACAGATTTTATAAGTGACATAGCAACCATATTCAGATACTTAAATAAAGGGTTCAGAGCCAATAGTCTTTCACTAAAAACCTTTCAGCGCCGGAAGGCATTTAAATCGCTACTCAACTCCAATGCCGGCGGCTATTTAACTAATTAAATCGGATAATGCAGCACTTAACTTAAAGCGTAATAAACGAGGAAAAACTGGAGTTTTTTTTTCATGTTTTCACACAACGTCCTGAGAAGTATAGAGAATTAGAGTATTGATCCACACTACTTTAAAATTATTTTTGGGCCAGTAAGCGTATAAAAATTATGAACAATAATATCGTATTACCTTAAAAATTCAGCCGTGTGTGGTAGTCGCGGAAACACTCAATGCAGAGGCCCACGCCGCACGCATCACACCAATACACTGTGTCCCTTCTCCTTCCGCGCTTTTGACACACAACGCATTTTCTCTGTGGTCTAGATTTCTTCGCCGTTGGAGGAATCTTGCTGATAAAATGTCGTTCTGTTAGACGGGGCACTGTGTTGTCTGATGGATGTGAACCCGGCACTTTATGTTCCACAGCACTCGCATATTTCACGAACAGGCCCTCAATCAACTGAATTCTGAATGATAATTGCTGAATTCGTATGCCTGTGTTACTCCTGTACACTATCATTGAATTCAGAATTGAGGCGTTTAGGAGCCTGCGAAACAGCTTCATGTACCACTTATTCATGCGCTTCCTCTCGATCAAATAAGGGTGAAGCAGCTGGTCCTTCAAATCGACCCCTCCCATTGACTTATTGTAGTCCAATACTGAAACTGGTTTCGCCACCTCCTTGCCTCTAACTGTAACAGTCCTGGTGTCGTGACTGTGATAGGTGGAGATCATGGTGACTATTTTTTTGTCGAACCACTTTGTGACAGAAACGGGTCCAGAATGTTGTGCCACGATTTCGCCTTTTTTTAGTTTAGTGTTTTTCACTTTTGGAGGCACATTCTTACGATTCAATTTCAGAGTGCCAACACAGTCGGTCTTGTGCGTTATCTTCAGTAGCCTGGCTAGAGTTGGAGAATTGTAAAAATTATCCATCCACAGAGTCCGACCTTGATTCAGGAGAGGTTCTACCAGTTTCAGGACAATGGCTGAAGTTTTATTGGTGTCTACTGTGATCAAAGGTGATTCAAATTCTGTATCCTTGCCTGTATATACGATGAAGGACCATAAATACCCCGTGATGGAGTCACACAACTCGTAAGTTTTAATTCCAAATTTGGTTGCCTTCAGAGGGAGGTACTGTTTGAAAGACAGACGGCCTTTCCAAAGTGTCAAAGATTCGTCAACTGAAATGTCCTGGTTTGGGAGACAGAGTTCCTGAAATTTCTTATTGAGATGGAAAACTACTGGGTAAATTCTGAAAAGTTTTTTTGGTCCTTCAAAAGTGCTGATGTTTTCATTGTTGGCGAACTGCAAATATTTACATATTAGCTCCAGTCTGTCTCGCGTCATAATGTCTCTAAATCCCGGTGTTGAAATTACTCTTTTTGTTGTAAAATACGACCGAAGAGTTGGTTTCTGTACAATGCCCATGAGCATGAACAAACCCAAGACAACATAAATCTCTCCCTCTGTCACGGGTTTCCATGCCTTAGAATGCGACCTCACTGATGGTTCACGCCCCCGTAGAAACAGTTCCGCGTGTCTATTTGTTTCTGCGACTATGGTATCAATAAGTTCCTTGTCGAAAAACAACTCGAAAACGTTCACAATTTCCGTTACATCTTTCGCAGGGCCTTGAGCTCCAACACTGCCCGTGAAATGTTCTCTGTGACCCCTATAGTTCTCCATATCCTCCCAAACGAATTCTTGATTTGCACTGTCATCTTCATCGCTGCCCTCATTTCCAACAGCATCAATCAAGGCACGGTCATCTAACTCGTTTTCAGAGTCAAAATCCGAATCTGACAGACTTTGTTCCGAATCACTTTCAAGCAAACACTGTATGTCCTCGTCACTCAATACACCCGAACTTCTCTTGCTCGTCCCAGCCATCTCTGCTACATGCCTACATGCAAACGATGCAAACTGCATTAGCTATTTGTTGAAGTTGTTGAACAAGGTGAACCTCAAGGAATGCACGTCATATCAGGGGCACCGTCACGTGGTTTCTCATTCCGTTCAAGAGGCAGCACTCGTCACTGGCGGAATGGAAATCGATTTTGCTTTGACCAACACGCAGGGAGATCACAGACTATCGACCTAGCATATTTAGTTTTTAACTACTCCAAGAGGTGGAGATAGCTTTGTACGGCAATACTACACCCTACGCGGAGACGCGGATTGGAGTTGGAGTACGAGAACGCTAGTGAGGTTAAGTGTTATTACGTTCGCTTTTTGTGAAGAAAGTGCGGTTTTTACTCTAATACGGTGGTGTTAGACAACAGTAGTAAGAGTCCGTATATTGCAGAATTAGTTTTGGTTTCCTTATCGCGAGTTACGAGTACGTATAGTGCGGGGTTCGAGCAAAAACACAACGGCCGGAAGCACACGTGCTTCCGACCGGGGACTCTCACAATATAAAATGAGTGGCCTAGAAATGGAAGCAGATACAATGGAAGAGGTAGGAATACACGACGAAGCAGGGGAAGAAGTGGTGATGGAGGATGTGGATTATGCAGAGATAAACAATAAGACGGTTACACAAAAGAAGAGGGTGGCAGGAAAAACAGGACCTGAACTGTCGTCAGAAGAGGAACTGATGGCACAATTTAGCACCGTTAGAAGCCGTAAAAAACCAAGGAAACTGGTAACTGATGTCGTAAAGAAGAGCACAAATAGCCATCAGAAGTCCAAAGAGATACAGAATCAGAATGAA